CTGATATTCCTCCTGCCTGATATTCCTTCCACCTGATATTCCTCCTGCCTGATATCCCTCCTGCCCAATATTCCTCCTGCCCGTTATTCCTCCTGCCTGATATTCCTCCTGCCTGATAGTCCTCCTGCCCAATATCCTTCCTGCCCAATATTCCTCCTGCCTGATATTCCTCCTGCCCAATATTCCTCGTGCCTGATATTCCTCCTGCCTGATATTCCTCCTGCCCAATATCCCTCCTGCCTGATATTCCTCCTGCCTGATATTCCTCCTGCCCAATGATATTCCTGCCCAGCTCTGGCAGCTTCCTGGTGCCATCTCGTGGTAAAACCACTTCTCCGGAGCATCCTTGTTTCTGTGCTGCCGCCGATCTCGCACTGGAAAGGAAAGAAACTCTCCGGTATTAACTTCTGGCTAGGCATTTCCCATGTCTTGGCACAGACAAACATTGTGACACTGCAGTCCCCAGTTGGTGCCACCTGATCAGAAGGGACTGAGCAATGAGTGTCTTACCCGACTCCCCTGTCCTGGGGATGCTGTTTTCATACCTTCCCTGTTCCCTCAGGAGAACATTTCACTGTGTTTCACTCCCAGGATGGCCAAGCCTACGTGCTGGATGACTACTGCCCTCACCTTGGGGCCAAACTCGTGGCAGACTAGCACATCCTAGAGGATCCATGGAGTGTCCCTGCCACGGCTGGCAGGTCTGAGGGGGGCACAGACTATGCAGCAGCATTCCTTATGCTGGGAAAGATGAGCAACCCCCAAATCCATGGATAGCATCCACAGAAAGGCTAGTGTCCTTCTGTGTCCTCATTAAAAGCTGCTTCATTAAGGGCAAGTGGTAGTAACTCACCCTCCATCTGTGCACGTGGAGTGCTGCACACAGCTCTGGTGTCCCCAACATGAGGACATGGAACTGTTGGAGCAAAGCAAGGCCAGGCCACAAAGCTGATCAGAGCACTGAAACACCTTCCCTATGAGGACAGGCTGAGAGAGTTGGGGCTGTTCAGCCTGGAGAAGAGAAGGTTGTGTGGAGACCTCAGAGCAACCTGCCAGGAGCTGAAGGGGCTCCAGGGAAGCTGCAGAGGGTGTCTTGGTTAGGAACTGCAGGGACAGGACAAGGAGCAATGGGGAGAAATTGAAAGAGGGAAATGTAGGTTAGATCTCAGGCAGAAGTTTTTGCTGTGAGGGTGGTGAGACACTGTCCCAGGTTGCCCAGGGAGGCTGTGGCTGCCCCAACCCTGGCAGTGTTCACAGCCAGGTTGGCTAAAGCCTTGAGCAACCTGCTCTGGTGGGAGGTGTCCCTGCCCAGGGCAGGGGGTTGGCACTGGATGATCTCTTAGTTCTGCTCTGATCTCTTAGTTCTATGCTCCCTGTTTCCTGCAGCCCCTGATTTTCCCCCTGGAATGTCCATGTTCTAGTATTCCATAGGAAGTGAAGCACTGGGTTCCAGTGCCCTTCCCTATGTGAGATGGTAACTGAAACTTAAGTTAAATTACCTCTTCTCAATTCTGACAGTCCCACACCTCCTACATCCCACAGTCAGGGTATAAGAGCAGATTTCTAACCATGAGCTATCCATTGCATCCCTCAGGGATGGATCCTGAGGGGCTGTTGGGTTCCACAGTGACAGCTCATGCCGTGTCAGAGCTGAAATGTGTCACATTAACATGACAGAATAGTTTCTCATTGGGAATTTTTTCTCCTTTTAAGGCTTGAAGGGAACTTTCAGTTGGGATTCAGGAAAGCTCTTCACTCACACCCACAGCTCAGATATGGTTTGCAGTGACTGTGTAGGAAGAATATCTTAAAGTTCACGTGGAACAATTACTTGCTGTGCTAATTAGCTTAAATCATCCATTCTAGAGGTGGTTGAAAGCAGCTCACAGACTCACTTTGAGTTTTGCTTTGACTTGTGCTTCTTATTGTCCTGAGAAGTTCAACTTCATTGGGTTTGAATTGATTGAGAGAGCAATTAAACACTGATTGGCAGCAAAAATCAGACTTCCTACAAAACAAACTTTTTCTCCCAAACTGAAAGAAACATTCCATCTTTGTGGGTAAGAGAAGCAATTTCTAGATCTCACTGAACAGCAATTTCCTTTTCTGTGTTTGTTATTTTCAGGAAAAAAAAAGATTAATACAATCTTTTCTCTCATACATACTCAGTCAGGAGCTGCTTTCAGATGAAAATTTGGTTCCAAGTACTGAGCAATGATGTGTTTCAGCACAAACTGAGAGAGAATGTTCTGGACATACATGAACACTTGCCAAGATGTATTGTTTCATCTGAAACAGCTGAATTTTGAGTCATTGTCATCCGGAGGTATTAAAGAACCAAAGTGTAGCAGCTGCCCTGCTCCCCTCCAGCCCAAATGGGTCAGCTTGGCTTGAACTGATTTAACAGCCATCTGTGCTCCCTTGGTCCCAGAGGGACTGTGGGGAGCTTGGATGGGCAGCACTTCCAGCACCTTGCAGGGACCCCCAGCCCAGCAGAGCCCCAGAGCACCGGGTGGTGCTGGATGAGGCTGGGAAGGGGCTGGAGCACAAGGAGTGGCTCAGAGAGCTGTGGAGGCTCAGCCTGGAGGAAAGGAGACTTAGGGAGGACCTTGCTCTCTACATCTCCCTGACAGGAGGTTTTAGACCAGTGGGGTTGGTCTCTTCTCCCAGGGAACAAGCAATAACACAAAGGGAAATGGCCTCAAGTTGTGTCAGGGGACATAAGACAAAAGGAAATGGCCTCAAGTTGTGTCGGGGAAGTTTAGATTGGATATTAGGGAAGATTTCTTCATGGAAAGGATGGTCAGGCCCTGGCACAGCTGCCCAGGGCAGTGGTAGAGTCACCATCCCTGGAGGGATTTAACAGCCTTCTGGATGTGGCACTTGGGGACAGAGTTAGTGGTGGCCTTGGCAGTGCTGGGGAATGGTTGATGATATTAAAGGTCTGTTCCAACCTGAATGATTTTGTGATTCCATGTGGGAGCAGATGAAACACTTTTAAAAATGTAGTGAGCTGCATCCCACTTGAAGCACCAATTTTGTCAGTCAGAAGTCACATTGATGTGCTCCTCCTGCCCCCTATGATACTCATTGACTGAAGAGAAACATCATAATTTCACCTCCCACATGACTGTACAAGGCTGAGTAAGAAGGAAGTCTCTCCTTGGTGCTTGTTTCCACATTAGGGGAAAAATATAGTGAAGGCAACAGCCTTTCATTCCAATCCCATGGAAGCTGCATGTTCTGACAATCAGGAAAATGCCAAAATTCATTTCACTGTAGTGTGTGACATACATTATACTGCAGTGTGGTAACAGAGAGTGACTTGAACTTGAGGAGCAGTGACGGTTTTTACTCTCTGCACATCTAGGACTGAAAGCATCTCCTTTTAGCTCATTGAAATTGGAGAAGGCTCCACTGATGTAGCAATTTAGTTACTTGAACATATTAAAGAGCAGAGAGAGGCAGCAGAGCAGGCAGAGGTTTGCTCCTTTAAAAACTGACACAAAATACCCAAAAAAACCCTCTCTTCTGTGATATTTGTAGCTGTTGTCCTTCTTCAGCACTCTGAAAACTGGAAAAGTGTCACCAAGTGTCCCCAAAGATGATCTCTGAGCCATGGGTTGGGACAAGGTGACCCTTGGCACAGCATCACAGAATCACAGAGTATTTGGAGTTGGAAGGGACCACAAGGATCATCAGTCCAACTCCTGTCCCTGCACAGACACCCCAACAATGCACCCTGTGCCTGAGAGCATTGGCCAAAC